TAAACGTCTCCCTGTTTCCTCTTGTAAGGCCACCTTTTGTCCTTTCTTCTCCTCATAGAGGGTGATGTTAGAGGGAGCAGGCCATCAGTGCGATTCAGTAAAGCCTGCTTGAAAAATGTCTTCACTGTGCTGCTCATCTTCATCTACCTGCTGCTGACCACTGTGGCCATCTTCCTGGCCTACCAGACCATCTCAGACTTTTTGGAGAAACTCAGCCAGCCTGTTATGTCTGTCACCTACAAAGAAGTTGAGTCATTTCCACCCCCAGGTTTGTACAAAATATAAGTATTCAAATTTCAGTATGACCCGTAAAACATTTGAAACAAACGTCCTTGTCCAAATGAACGTGATTCTGCTTCTGATAATGGTAACGTGCAGGATTAATACAAAACTCTTGAATGCAACTCAGTTTTCACTGAGGCTGAAACATAGAATATATAGTGGAAAGAAACTAAAACTCTGATGCCACACAGAAAATAAATTACAAGAAAGTACAAGGTGTAAAACGCTAACAAAATAAAACAGGAAGCAAGGGTTGTTTTGAATAAAGCTTTTCAAAGTAAAAGAATCTAATTGAAGTTCTAGCATTACTTTGAACGACTGCATTTTGACCACCCCATTTTAAGAATTCTTCTTCTTCTTTCGTCTTTTCCCTCGTCAGGCGTCACCACAGCGAGTCATCCTCCTCCATCTCTGTCCTCTGTCCTCACTCCAACTACCTCCATGTCCTCTCTAACTGCATCCATATATCTCCTCTTTGTCTCTTTCCTGGCAGCTGCATTTCTAACATCCTTCTACTAATATACCCACTGTCCCCACTAACCCTGACTCTAAACGCTCTAAAAGAGCACAGCATGTCATGATCTCCACTCTCTGTCACCTGCCGGCACTCTCGGCTACGCCCACTTCTCCACTGCAGAGCAGAGATCCTGACATGCAGCAGGAGGAAGCTTCTCCTGCAGCTGTAGGCTGCATGCAGGTGCAGCAGCTGCTAAAAAATTAAAATAATTTATTTTAAATAAAAACTCCGTGCGGATCGTGCGGCTCATCCATCAATCAGTCAGTTGTGTGTCAGGTCCAATCTTATTTTGAAAAACCGCGAAAGTCGAATGCGAAGTAATGAGGGGCTACTGTATTAGTAGGGCCTTCTATTAAAGGGCCTTCTCCTACTCCGCTCCTGTTTCCTGGAATATCTTACAAAAAGATCTGAAGCTCTCGACCTTGACCTCTCTAAGTGACTTTGGACTCCTGGCTAGGACCAATGCAGACATGTTCCTATTTTTAGTTTTCTACATTCACCTTATAATCTAGCAGTTTTTTGTTACTTTTTTTAGCCATCTTATTTATAAAAAAATAAATTAAAAAATCTGTATGCCTTTTTATAACTGTCTATTGTTGTTGCTGTTGTCCATTGTTGTCATCATTCTTTGTTGAGATCAGGTCTCTCTTGTAAATGAGTCCTCGGGGCTCAATGGGATTTACCTGTTTAAATAAAAGTTGAATGAAAACATTTGTGTTTAACGTATATCTTAGATCTTTTAGTGCACCGTTTGGCGTTTGTTTAACGTATATATTAGTGTATATCTTAGATCCTTATATACTGTTTCTTTTTATACTTTATATTTTTGCTATTTTGGGTATAGCTGGGACCCCAAGTACACAGTTTCGTTCCACCTCATGTACCACATGTGATGCGAATGACAATAAACTTGAACATTACAATTCCTATCTTTAACTAGCCTAACCTGCTGCACATCCTTTCCAGCCTGATCGCTCTGTCTTGCTAATCTTTACAAGTCCTTCTTGCCCTCTTTAGTGTCCAGTCTCCCGTACAACTAATCATACGCCTTCTGCTTTCTCTACATCCCATCTTCTTATATTCCTGTCTCCTCTCTTCAGTCCTGTCACGGTCATATTTCTTTTTGGCTAATTTCTTTCTTTGAACAGCTTCCTGCACTTCATTATTCCACCACCAGGTTTGCATATCATCCATTCTCTGTCCAGATGACACACCAAGTACCTTCATACCTGTCTCTCTAATTACTGTTGCTGTAGTAGTCCAGTCACCTGGAAGCTCTTTCTTACCACCCAGAGTCTTTAACAGCTCCTCTCTGAACACCTCACAACATTCTTCTTTTCTCATTTTCCACCATTTGGTCTTCTTCTCTGATTTTACTCTTTTTCTCTTCTTCACAACAACAGTCATTCTACACACAACTGTCCGATGCTGTCTGGCCACACTCTCTCCTGCCAGAAACTTACAGTCTCCAAGCTCCCTCAGGTCTCCTCCTCTTCACAGAATGTAGTCTATAGATGAGCTCATCTTAGACCTCACAAGGTTATTTAGCACTCTGACTATAAATTCACAAGAACTTTTATTAACACACCAATTTTCAGCTCAATATCTGTAAAACTGACTGATAGTCATTTTTGTATTCTGTAAAACGGTTTAGCTGTGGCAGCCATCTTGAATTGGGGTGTCTCCAAAAGCTGTTTGTTGTAGATGTTCATCTGTTGATTATTTTCTAAGCGCTTTCAGTGCATTCAGTAGATTTTTTGCTAACAGACAGTCTGGGTTGATGGCAAAAAGTAATGTGAAGTTTTGAGCTCAAGTTTTGCGCAGCGTGTCACCAGAGTCTGCATTGGGGATGATGCTCAGCTACTACCACAACATTTTTTAGCTCGACATATATAAATGTAGCCAAGTTGTAGACATTTTTATGTTTTTTTTAAGTACGTTGGTTGTGACGGCCATCTTGAATTGGTCATTCCAAACTTTGACGATGAACATCCTATGATTACTTTCTGAGAGTTTCATTAAAATCCACTGATTCATAAAATACAGACAAAAACACTCTTGGCGTTGGTGATAATAACTCAAATCTCCAACAAAACACAGAAACAGACTAAACTTTACCAAATGACAACTGAAAATGGATAAAGGCTTTTCTGATTTTGTTGGTTGTCACTTTTTGTCCCGGGGCAGGTATTGCTCTGTATCCGGGCAATGCTCAGCTGCTGAGCTGCAAACATCACTACCATGACTACATCCCACCATTAACGAATCCTGGTAAACCTCAAAGAGGGGACTGTGAGGTTAAAGAAGTGACTTACTTTGGGCCGTTCATAAATCAGACTGAGGTAACAGTTAAAGTCTTTGATTTCTTGGCTTTATACATTTAAAACATGCAACAAAAATGGTTTTAATCGTAACTGCTGACATACGGTATTAGCATATGTATTCATTTGTGTTGTAGAAACGAGCTTTGGTGGTCCGTGGCCCGTCTGACGTCAAAAACAAAGAGCTGATCTTCATGCAGTTCAGTCAGAACGAAACAGAAGCGGACTTCAGTGCCATCACTTACATGCTTTTTTCTAAGTTCAGCGACTTGATTCACAGGTTAGTACCGTTTCTGCTTCCTGTCCTATGAAACCGTGAACGATCAGCTGCTCATGTGTTTACTGACCGTCAGTGCAAACCAGTCGGAGTTTATGAGGGACTGTGAGAAGAATTATTCCATGTGGACCTTTTCTGGAGGATTCAGAACCTGGGTCAAAATGTCTTTAGTGAAAACATCTGGAAAAAGTAATCAAGCTGTTGAGTTTCGGCAAGAGGTATTTATCAATTTATACTTTGCATTCATGAATACATTTAAAAGCTTACTGGTCCATTTCACCATTTATTCTTGATATTGTTTTGTTTTAGTCCTCTGTGGTGAAATTCAATGATAAAAGGCCTGAAGCAGAACAAACCAATGAGCTGTTCTTTGCTGTTTTTGAGTGGCGCGATCCTTTCATTCAGGACATCAGACTGGTGAGTTCTTCCAAACATTTCAACCCAAATTACAATTTGTGTGTACGAATCAGTTCGAGACGGCGATGTTTATTTCCGAACAGATTGTGACTGCGAACCCCTGGAGCTCCATGGCTATCCTCTGCGGTGTCTTCATGGCTCTCTTCAAAGCTGCTAATTTTGCCAAGCTCACTATAAAGTGGATTATTAAGATGAGGAAGAGGCATCTGAGGAATAAAGCGAGAGAACTGAGCCCCGTAAGCTAAAGCATTAAATGCACCGGTAGCACAAACTGATAAACTATGAAAGGTCCAACTGACAACTTTTTATACACGTGCATTTCAACATCAGTATGCACTTTTTTTTTTATCTCGGTGGGAATATTTAGCACTTAGGTCATGTTTGTTAAAATGTGACATTATGTATGAAACTGCTGTCTTTGTTCTATTTTAACATAACGTATTTTCCTCCGTACACGTCGCTCCACCCTATAAGTCGCATCAGCCCAAATATCTCTAATAAAGTGAAAAATCCATAAATACGTCGCATCTATTATGCGTCACGTTGCGTTTGTTACGCGTCACCGCTGACAACCCGAAAATGTGGGCCGGTGTTGTGCCAAAAATCGATTGACTGCCAAATGGCGGCCGCAAGGGCGTGCACGGGAGGACTTTAACAAGGATTTAACAAGTTAACCACCTAAAAACAATTATTTGTTTGCTCGAAATTATAGCAAAGGTGTGTCTCAGTCTAACATTTGCTTAATAAATGCACTTTGATGGTAAAATCAGCTGTATTTCAAAATCCGATACGCAGAAGTAGGTGTGTGCACGAGAGGACTCGCTGTGCATTTCTTGGAAATTGAGCAAGATAACCACCTAAAAACAATTATTTGTTAGCTCGACTTTATAGTAAAGGTGTGTCTCAGTTGAACTTTTACTTAATAAATGCACTTCAGTGGTCAAATGAGCTGCATTTTGCCGGGGCTGCGCATCGAAATGAAGCTTATTTGATGGTTGCTTCAGGCAGACGATGGTGGCGGGCTGTGGCAAACCAATTGTGTCATTAATAGACACGTTTACCTATTACATGATACAACGGCATGCCATGCTGCTCGAGTGCCATCTAGCGGCTGAAAATGGTAGTGTTCAATATTTTCAGTCAGAAGGAATGAAGATGGTCATATCTCAGCCAAAAGTTGGTTTATAAATATGGGGAAAAAAAATCCATAAATAAGTTGCAGGGCATGCAAATTATGCAAAAAACTGCAACTTATAGGGTGAAAAATATGGTACAACCATTCAGTCATTCATTTCATTTAAAAATGTCAAATGGTTTGTATTTTGGTGCATTTCAAAAGAAGGCAGGTTTTAATAATTGTTTTTTAAACATTCCTGGACACAGTGTCGCATACACACAAAAATGTTGCTGAAAGCTAAAAAGCTTTAAAAGTTTTATGTTTCATTATCTTTTGTTTGTAAAACTGAGAACATGTGAACTTCAATGAAACTGTTGCAGGATTTAGGATTTTATTTGTTTGTGTGTAATAATGGAAATTAAGAGAATCTTGTACTGAAACATTTGTTGTTATACGTTTTAAGTAAATCAAGTAAAAGTTTAGGTCAATCAAAAAATACTAAAGGGAAAATAGATTGTCAATAAAATGCTAGTTTATTGCTTATTTTTGTAGTATAAATATAAACGGATACTATGTACTTTTACATGAATCACCAAACAGTGAAATGTAGCAATAATTTTTTGCCTCTGTGTGTGTTGTTTAGTCATGTTAGCAAAATATCTCATGAACCACTGGATAGATTTTATTGAAACTTTGATAAAGGATGTATGTGCACAGTTGATTAACTTTTGGAATCTTTTTTTTTTTTTGTAGCTTTTTTTCAGCTTAGATGATCTCCCTTGAAAGTTGTTGCTTAAAAAAAAAAAAAAAGTCAAAATATGTTTTTCTTCTAAGAATACTTGGCCTGTAATTTATTAAACGAGTGAGAAAAAAAAATCATTAGTGTGCTGTTAAAAATGTTCCTACAATTAAAAAAAGTGTCCATACATTTTATATGTACATTTCATTTTTGAGATTTTAAACAATAAAATATGCTCAAATATTGTTGTGAAATGTATTTTATAATATTTAAATTAATTCATATTGCCATGAACTTTGTACCAAACTAAAGAGAGGAAAAATGTGAATGTTTATTTTTATCAACGTCTGCAACAAAGCAAATTTAATATGCAAGTAAAATATGCAAAGAATAATCGATCAGCACAGTGATCAACATGTCCTGTGTTCCGACACTGGCCGTGGACTTTGAACGCCTCACCGGAAGTAGTTTACGTTGGGACTCGATGGAGGATGTTGCTAACTTCAGCTGTGGAAGAGTGAATACTGTCTGCACACATTTGGAAATTGTAAAGGTAGCCAACAGTTATGTCTGCATCCCATAGAAATTATATTCAAACATCTGTTTTCAGCTGCATGCCGTCATAATTTATATTTATGTTATTTTATACAGTAGTAACTAAATAGCAAAGTGCTATCTTGCTAAATTTAGCTCTAACTTCTAACCGACTTTACCTACTAATTGCCCCTGCCCTGAGCATATTCATTTTATTACAAGACACGACTTGTGTCAATAGTTTAATATCTTTGCAGTTGAGTGGTCTTTTGGTCTAAATATGAACAATTATTACGGATTTTGTTTGCACATAACACCTAGTTGTGAAGCTAAGCTAAGTCAAAGGTTCAATAAGTTCAACAACAACAAGCTTCGGCAAGTTACTGAAACGAACTTTTTAGTTTTTTGTTACGTGAATTACAACAATAGTTGAAAGTTTATTTCAAGCCGGCTTATTTATGCTTTACTAAAACTAACAATTGCGATAAGTGGTGCTAACCTGCTCCTCCCAAGACGAGTAAATGTTGCTAAAACGATTTGTTCCTTTGAGTGTTGCTTTTTGTGGTACTGCACAACGAATTCAAAAGTTTTCTATCAGTTATTAAAACAAAATCAATCACATGTCATCACAACAACAGGACTGGTCAGCCTCAGTGTTTGTTTTGTTTACTGGTTTTGTCTTGATTCGGGGACTGGGCTGAGAACAAGATCTACATAAGCAGCTTCTCTTTGGCACTTTTGTAACAACAAAACATGAGGACTCAGTACTTTTTTGTAAGAATTTCATAATATTTAAAATAAAAAAAATAGGTCACTAATATTATATCATAACAATGTAATTTCTGGACTTTTGTCATACTTGTTACTAGACGGCTAAACTTGTTTTTAGAGGGTTAAATAACTATCAAGACTGTATGAAGCTTTGTTGGTTCAGCTGGTAAATATTTTAGAATAGTAGAAGTTATATAATGTTATTTTATCTTTTAGCAGAAGTTTAATTCCAGAACTGTTCATTTCAATTCAGTTTTTTAAATAGCACCAAGTCACAACAGAACTCTCAGGGCACACACACACACACACACACACACACACACACAT